TTTTTTTTTTTTTTTTTTTTTTTTTTTTTTTTTTTTTTTTTTTTAGCTTATGACCTAATTAATTAAGTTATATTTATCTCGGTTTGATTTGATCTGATTCGATCTTTTTATCTATTATATTAAGCTTTGATTTGTTTAAGCGCGTTCATATGACTTGATAATTTAATAATCTGGACTACCCACCCCAGATTGTAAAACTTGGATTGGGTTGGATTGAATTTTTTTGAAAGCGGAATACATCTACGTTAGTAATGTATTATGACTCGTGAGTATTTGATATTTGAATTTGATGAGATTTTAGTTATTAACCCTCTTGTATTTTGGGTGTATTTTGGATAAGTACGACTTTTTAAAATAATTTTTAAAAAATAATCCAGCCAATCTAAAAATTGAAAGTTGGATTGGATTGAGTTGAATTTTATCTGGGTAGCCCACACAGCAGACTCTTGGGTTGCTCCAAAAGAATTAACGGATTTACACTTCTAATAAGGTTATTGGACGTTAACTTGAATATAGTTTAATTGGTTCAAATGTATATCCTCAACTAGAAGGAAAAGAATTAAAAAAAGTCAGATCTATTATGTCCTAGAAATTTATTGATTTTAGGGACCAATTTGTAGATAAATTTAATATTAACGGGCTTTTTATATACAAAATTAAAAGTTTTATTTGGAAAACTCGTTAGACATTTTTCAAAGTTCGCACTCAAACAACTTCTTGCATTTTGGTAGAAACTATAATGTTTTAAATAGTTGAGTTATGCTTAAATTGGTAATATGCTTAAATTGGTAATGATAATTGATGCTTTATTACCAAGTCATCCTCGTGTTGCCAACATAATATTAAAACACGTCGGAATAATAGCATTAAAGTTGAACTAGATTGAGACCGACACAGAAGGAATATGTGTTAATATCATAAGCTAGACCTAGTAAACCCTTTTAACAACATTTGTAGCTTGTATAAATAGTTTTAGTGTTAGGTTACTCTATTAACGTTGTATTTAATGTCGTGTTACAACAATGTGTTGTTTGATTATTATTTTAAAAGAATTATGTTTTAATTATTTGAGGTTTTATTGTCCTTTTAAGACACATCTTTTAAAATCCAATTAAGATTTTTAAAATTGTTTCAAAATGGAAATGGCTAAATAAAGAATAATTATATAATTAAAATTTATGCAAATTTTAGAAGTAATTTCAAATATCATATATTTCTTTAAATTTTTATATAATTAGCTAAAGAGCTATTTAGAGAAGATCATTCATACTAACAAATATAGACGTTCACGAGGGTCTTCAATTTAATTAGAAGGATAGAGAATAAGAGGGAAAAAAATGTTGTACGGATGTACAAGGAAGCAAGCGATCACGCGTCCTGAGCGGTGTAATTACATGAGATAGAGCACGATTGCCTAACGGCCCACGTGATCACATATTTTTCTCGTTCTAAAGCAATTGGTAACTCTCGTGCCACCTTTCGTTTGTTAGTAAAAATGACCTATTTAGCTCGATTCAATCTCGAAACTAGAAGGTGAGAGTGATTTTTTTTTTATCGTATATATTTTATTTTGTTACTTTTTTAAATTTAAAATATAAAGAAATGTAATATAATAATTTAATTTTGTTTATTTTCGTAAATGGGCTGGCAGCTGGCGATTTGGGCCTTTAGCGAGGAACATGTGAGATCCAGGAATATTTTAATATTGGAACAGTATTATTTTACTATTTCTTTATTGACGGTTGATCCTCATAAAATAATAAAATAATAAAATAATAAAATAATAAAATAATTTACCCTATACTTTTTTATTCCCTTCAAACGAAAATAAAATAAAATAACTCGTCTAATTAAATTAAAATATTGACATAAAGCTTAACAAATAACAAAAATAAAATAATAAAATATTTTATTTATAAATATAAATATACAAGAGTAATTTTTTTAACTTCAAAAAATGTTAGATTATAAGACTAATTCTTAATTTTTTTTAAAAGATATAATTTAATTTTATATTATTAAATCGGTTAATTTAAAAATTATTAAAATACAGTAAAGTTTATAGAAAAAAATTGAGATTTATGAAATTTTAGATATTTGTAAAATAATAATAAAAATAAATAAATAAATAAATAAGGAAAATTATATAATAAGGTTGGGCTGTCCGTAATTTTCTCGTTCTATCACGTGTTGGACATCGTCGATTCGTAGTTGTCTTTCTTCTTCCTCAAAAGTGCGGGAAGGACGACGCTGATTGCTGAATGCTGATCGAAATCAAACTCCTTCTTCTTCTTCTTCCTGTCCTCTTCAGCCATTTTTGCTTCTTCTGAAGAAGGCATCACTGTAAGGCACTGTGTTGAGGTGTAGTCTCAGGTAGAGCAGAGAGAATACAGTTCCTTCCCCGCCAAAAGGGATTTTATCCTTCGATGAACGATTGCCGTATTGCTTCTTATATTCTTTCCTATTTTCGTTTCTTCTATGTAAGATTCTGACGGAGTCTTTGCGGACGACGACGTGTGGTGTTTATTTGGCATACCGTTTGAGCCGATCGGCGGAGTGAGGATTTGGTTACTTTGCAAATTGCTAGGTTTTTTGTATTTTGAATGAAAGATGCGGATCAGAAATCTGGTGGCGTTGATGCTCTTTATGACGGTTATTGCTCCGATTCTGCTTTACTCTAATCGCCTCGCCACCATCGAGTTCTCATGTAAGTGTCCTTCTATCTCGCCGATTTCGTTCTGGAATCCGGTTCGTTTACTTTTTCGTTTCGCTGCTATCTATAGATTTTGAAATAGCGTTTTCATTTCTGCAGCTAAAGGCGATTTTATTGAAGATTTTTCAACTTCGGTGAGTAAATCCGTGTAGACTCGCTCTGTATGCTTCATCTTGTTATTTGCCATTGCGATATTGAAAAAAAAAAAAAAAGCGTTTGGTTCGATCGTTTGGCTGTTTTCTCCCACTTTTTCTTCTAATTTCCCTGTGTCTTCGTAAACCAGGGTTTCAATAGCGATGTCAGGCATCTAAATCCTCCCGATGGGATAGCTACTTTGTCAATTTCCTACAATTTTTTAAATCTATTTATTATTCGCTTTTGTTCTGGTTCTTGCATTTTTTGGATACCAATTTTTCTGACGATTCTTCTTTGATTCATCGTTTTGGGTAAAAGAAATCTTCATCAAGCGTCGAAGAGCCCGTCGCGGTTGTTTACTCGGACAACAATTCACTTCCTGATTCCGCTGCTTCGGTTTGGCAGAGGAACGACGGCACCCAAGGTTTGGCCAAGGATGTGCTATATATAAATATTTCTGTTTATAACACTGGTTTCTGGTTTTGTATATTTCTTTACCTTGTCATTTGTTAATTTTTTCTTCTGGTGCACAATCTGTAGGAGTAGTAGAGCGTAAATCTAATAGAGTATTGACCATGACTAATGAGGAAGATCATTCTCAAAACGAAAATCCAATCAAGCAGGTTACGGATCCATTTGGGATGGCAAATACCATTAGAGGGGATCCCGATAGTACCGGTGAACAGAACAGCAAAGTCGATCCTGTATGAATCTGGCTTTTTGCCATTTCTCCTATACTCTTTAGTTGTCCTGTTGTTATAGAATTATTTGCATGTGCAGGGTGATTCTTAGAAATCTTTGATAGTTTTTTCATGAGTTTCGCATGGATAGTTCTGATTAACTTATTATCCAGCAAGAGTTATTGTTTTTATCAAGAGCTTTCATTTCCATTCTCTCGAGAAGCCTATCGCTGTGGCTAGATAGCAAATTTGCAACGTAATTTTCTGGCTCCAATACTATGCCAAAGGAGTCATTTATGTAGTTTCTCTATTGCTTCTTTTAACCAAATGGCTCTATTTCTAAAGCCCTCCCGAAGTAGAGCCATAAAGGGAGTACATAAGAGTCAGCTCGTCTTGCTGCCAGGAATAATTAATCAACTTTTTGATTTATTCAGAATGTTTCTTTATCTTGTATACAATGAATTTTCCAGAAGATTATGCAACCACTATATATTGTGCATGAACTTATTCCCATAATCACTTATTTTATCTCTATTTTCTCTTCTCCTTGTGTCTATGTTTCCTTGCCAACTGCCAGAATCCCAAACATGAGCAGCCAGCCACCCAAGCTTCTGAGAAAGCTGATGGGGGAGAAATAGGAAGATCAAGATCTGAATCAGAGAATGTTCAAGCTGCTTTTCCTAATGCTCGGGTAAGACATCTCAAGGATCAGCTCATAAGGGCCAAAGTTTACCTCTCTCTTCCAGGCACTAGGAACAATCCCCACCTTACAAGAGAACTTCGACTGAGGATAAAGGAAATTCAACGAACATTAGGTGATGCAAGCAAGGATTCTGAGCTACCTAAAAAGTAAATTTTCTTTCTGATGCCATCCGTGTCCATGTTAATGTTCCATCTGAGAATGAGTTATTGTTTCTTCTATATCTATTTAAATCTAATGGGATGGGACATTCTTGAGAGGGTCTTTGTGTTCACTATTGGATGCTATTAATGTTGCAGTGCCAACGAGAGATTGAAGACAATGGAGCAAACACTGGCAAAAGGGAAACAAACTCAGGATGACTGTTCTATTGTGGTAAAGAAACTGCGAGCGATGCTTCACTCAACTGAAGAGCAGTTGCGAGTGCACAAGAAGCAAACCCTGTTTTTGACACAATTAACTGCAAAAACACTTCCTAAAGGCCTTCATTGCCTTCCCTTGCGCCTGACAACCGAATACTATTCTCTGAATTTGTCCCAACAGCATTTCCCAGGTCAAGAGAAACTAGAAGATCCGGACCTGTATCATTATGCGTTATTCTCAGATAATATATTGGCTGCAGCAGTAGTTGTTAACTCAACAATCACTCATGCAGAGGTATATATTTCTCGTGGAATTATGATGTCTTTTCATAGTTTATACATTGATTTCTTTTTTCACGGTTGTTTGGGATTGGCAGAAAGAGTCTGATTTCTTGTCATTGTTAAAGTTGATACAACTATGGACCTTTCCCTTTGTTTGAAATCATGACTTATTTCACGTATTTGATAATTTCAGGAGCCTTCAAAACACGTTTTCCACATTATTACAGATAAACTCAATTATGCAGCAATGAGGATGTGGTTTCAAGCTAATCCACCTGGCAAAGCTACCATCCAGGTTCAGAATACGGAAGAATTTACATGGTTAAACACCAGTTATAGTCCAGTTCTTAAGCAGTTGAGTTCTTCGTCTATGATAGACTATTATTTCCGGGCTCATCAGGCTAGCTCTGATGCAAATATGAAGTTCCGGAATCCAAAGTACTTGTCCATCTTGAACCATCTACGATTTTACCTCCCACAGTTATTCCCGAAGCTCAAAAAAGTTTTGTTCCTGGATGATGATATAGTAGTGCAGAAAGATCTCACAAAACTTTGGTTCGTTGATTTGAAGGGAAATGTTAATGGTGCTGTAGAGACTTGTGGAGAAAGCTTTCATCGGTTTGATAGATATCTCAATTTCTCAAACCCTCTCATCTCAAAAAATTTTGATCCTCGTGCCTGTGGTTGGGCATATGGCATGAATGTCTTTGATTTGGATGAATGGAAGAGGCAGAATATTACAGAGGTGTACCACTCCTGGCAGACGCTGGTAAGTTCTTATGAATTCGTATCTATTCCACTTGTCATATGACTTGGGAACATTCGAAGCATTGGTAGTGAACAAACCTTTTCAACATTAAAAATACGTCTGGAAGAAGGATTGAAACGGAAACGTGTTCGTTCTAGTTAAATCTTTGTGTGCCAATTATACGTAGTAAACTGGAGTTTGGTGGATATAATAAATTTGTGTGACATCAATAAATTTTTTCTTGAAGATGGACAGTGATGCATATCTTTAGAGTGCTGGGTAGTATTGTCGTATTGTGACTTGTAGATCCTAGCTCCTTGGAAATAGTATTCCTGCTCAAAACATTGTATTTTCTTTTTCCCCCAGAATAACGACATGCAATTGTGGAAGCTGGGGACATTACCACCGGGTCTCATCACATTTTGGAAGCGCACTTATAATCTTGACAAATCCTGGCATGTTCTAGGCCTTGGTTACAATCCTAATGTTGGGCAGAAGGATATTGAACGAGCGGCCGTTATACACTATAATGGGAACATGAAGCCTTGGCTCGAGATAGCCATACCCAAGTACCGAAATTATTGGGCAAAGCATGTTGATTTTGACAATCTATATCTAAGAGAATGCAACATCAATCCATGAATGGTCCTTGTGGATTCAAAGATTCCTCGATGAGTCTAACATCCACAATAGTTAATTTTCCAGGTCTGGATCTCTGCTTATTTTTTTGGTTCTCTAATTTATTTTTCCCTTCTTGATTTGTTTATTGGTTATGTAAAGTAGAACTTAACTGATGCTATCTATTCTTAATTCCCCCCACTTCAGATGTATATCATATGTGGGTCTCTATATTCTGTTGGTTTACAAAATGTACTTGACCAACTCCTTTTCCTCAAATATTGCCAGTTGCAATTTGAGATTTTGAAAAAGATGGTATCTCTCTCTCTCTCTCTCTCATTTATTTGTATTATCTGAAACTTCTGTCTGTTATCATGAAAATATTATTACCGAAACAGGCCAAATGACTTCGTTTGGAGGGTACGAACGAAACGATAGCAAGACAAAAATAAAATTTCTTTCAGGTTCATTGAAGATCATTTCTTTCTTAGATTTGACATCTTCTAGTAGCTTGTCTATTGAGTTCATTCCTTGCTTTATATCATGCTTCATTTGATATGATTTTACTCAAACAGAGAGGCCTCTCGGTTGGGTTGAATTGGGTTGTAACTTGTGATTTGGATCGCTGTATAATGAGAAGAGCGGTGGGGGGGGAGTTGAGGGTTGGTGAATTTTAAGGGAAAAGCAAGGTGGGTTCTGGCTATGCCATTTATGTGTGCAGCTACCACTTTATTCCTCCAATCACGCGTGCTTGTTTGATGTCTTTTGTCTCCTTTACTCCAATTTGGTTGATTGATATAATGAATGGTTCTTCTTCGTGGGGCCTGTTGAAAGTGGCGCCCATCTGTGATTCAAATTTCAAAGTGTGTGGCCACAATTCTTGTTTAGGACTCGAATGGCTTTATTTCTGCTTGGCATCTGGATTTTGGGTTTAAACTATTGATTCATAGTCGTTTGCTTGCCACTAACTTCAGGGCCCAGTAGATGTCGGCCTGCATACGTAACCCTCTCTGTCCATGCAGCTCCACGCCTCTCAGAAGCTAATGGGTTGGATGGGTAAACTCATGGGCAATAGACTAAAACCAACCCAAAACTCTTGAGGTATTTTTGTCTTTCATGTCTTTGTGTAAATTTAACTAAATCTCTCCTAAACAGTTTGAATTCTCACACTCGAAACGTTAGGTTGAATTTAAGCTAAATTCTCGCTAATGTTAATTACATATAGATATTATTGATTTGACAACCAAGAGCGAAGGATATAATGATCAATATCAAATGAACATGTTGATTTGCAATACATGAAGAATTTGACTAAAGAACCGGATCAAATGCTCAAATGGATCGAAAAAGACTAAAAACATAGCGAATCTATTTAAAACTAATCAAATCAACAATGATTGAAAGAGCTGAAGGCTTTTCACTCCCTTTTAAAATTGCATAAGAACAAACCTAGAAATCTATTAGCCAAATAGATTGATGAATCAACTGGGCTCACCAGATTTGGTTGATTCTTTGTAGATTTATTTGAAGTAGAGGTTGTTAGGCATGTGGAAAGTGCATTGAGATTTGAACCTTTTTGGGTGGAACCGTGTGGATCAAATGATCTAATAAGCAACTTTGGCCTCCATATCATCAATCATTGTACCTGGTGATATCAGATCAGATCAAACCAATCATATCCCATCTTTGCTATATGCATTGCTTCAATTGGGGGTTAGATACCCATTCACCATCTCTCTCCCTTCTTGCCTGTTCATTTACGTTCATATCGACTAAAAAATTCTCATAAACTTTACTTTTTGATATTTCAAAAATATTTCAAAATTATTATTAACGTAGGAATCATTTGGGACGTTGGCTGTAAATTGAGATCTAGAATAATGTGCCAATGATTTGAAACAAAAATTGGGACCTAGACGCCACCATATCATTTTAGCTTATTGTCACACTTTCCAATGTCTAATTTTCGTCAGATATCTTTAACGAATTTCTCGTTTTGAAATGTTTACGATAGGTTAATAGTAATATTACATTATCTGAATTAACGATTTTTCAAAAGTATTTTCGAAGTAAAGGGAAAAATTCAAAGATATTTTTCGTAATTTAGCTTTAATCAACTCATTTTTTACACATGCTGGGTGTCTATGTTTCAATGAGATTTACATATTTTAACGTTGGATTTAGACATATTTGTGAATACTTAGCTTTGTGGCTTGGATTGAGTGTTCATGTAGTTGTGTGTGGGCATCTTTAAAGTTGGATTTTCGAGTATTGGTTAAGTCTCGGACAACTTTTTGGTTAGAAAAGACGTTGAGTTCAACAATAGATGAACGTAGAAGACTCGAACCTCTGTTTTGAGGTAAGCAGATATAATTACCCATTTTCTTCTGACTGAGCTAACTTCACAGTACAAAGATGTTTGATGTGGCAGTGTTAGGCTCATTTTGTGACCAAACAAAGACAGTCAAGTCAGCCCACAAGAAGCAAAAGGGCACTGAAAAAAAGACACAGCAAATGAGGTGGTTCGTTCGTTCATTCATTCAGTGGCTCATCTTATCTTAGCCTTAGGCTGGCTGTCCTAAGCCAAACAACCTCGATTTTTGGAGCCAAAACTAGGAGGGTTGCTTTTGAAAATGGTCAAATGAGTCACTTTTTTGGTAAGCAAGCAAGGATTTAATTTGGTTTTGGGGCAGCAGCAGGCAGGGCATTTCAGACAGCAGTCACCTTGTCTGCTGGGCCCTGTTTCTTCTTCCCCTTCCCTTCTTTTCATGTGCACCAGCACAGCCAAAGCCAAAGCCAAAGGCCAAAGCCAAAGGCCAAAGCTTTTCCTTAAGGTAAAAAGAGCAGATTCCCTCTCTATTACCTTAGCTTAGGGTCAGGTCCCTCTCTCTTTACTGTCACCACACTGCCGTGTTTGCAACTGGGTTCTTAAAGTTTAGATTTTGAACTAATACCATTATCCTTAAAACTCGAAAGACCCGAAAGACGAGTGTTAGTAAGAGAACGAGATCTTTGTTATTCGTAATTAAAAATCTTGAGGGAAAGCCTAAAAGGAAAAGTTAAAAAATGACAACATTTGCTAATGGGAGACTTGAACAGTGGAAGCCAGACATATGCACTTGTTCACCTCAGATCTTTGTCATTTCTTATTGATATAGATACCCTATTATGCAATTGGGTTCTTAAAGTTTAGATTTTGAACTAATACCATTATCCTTAAAACCCGAAAGACCCAAAAGATGAGTGTTAGTAAGAGAAGGAGATCTTTGTTATTCGTAATTAAAAACTTTGAAGGAAAGTCTGAAAGAAAAAGTTAAAAAAGGACAATATTTGCTAACGAGAGGCTTGAACTGTTCCAGACATATGCACTTATTCACCTAAGATCTTTGTCATTTCTTATTGATACAGATGCGATTGATTTTACATGGGTTCTCGTGAATCAAACTATTAGAGATAGAGAAGTTATCTTCCACTGATAGATATCAAAGAACATCAGGATCTATAACAAATGCAGACCGTTTGTACATTTCCAACATCAAGTCGAATCTTATCCGTACTCTTTCATTTCAAAACGACAATGAAATCGACACGTAAAATGCAATGCAAGTAAGAGAAGTGGGAAAAGAAGGCATGTGTTTGGTTGGTTGTAGTGAATGAAAGGGGGATGAACTCCTAATATGAAAAGTGCCAAAAGGAAGACAACGGGCAGAAGAAGAAAATCAAAAGCATTTGAGATGTTGGGGCGCGCCGGGCGGTTGCTTTGTTGACTCCCAAATTGGCCTTGTCTTTGCCTTTGCCATTGCCTTTGCCTTTGCCTTTTTGTGCTTCCCGCCATCATGCATTGCACTCAAGCGCTGCGGGGGTGGGCTGCCTGGATCAATGCCAAACCCATCATTATCAACCTTTTCATTTCCTTCTCCTTCCAAACTTTCAATTTTCAAATCTAACCCGTTCTTACGTCGACCCTAGTTTATTTAATTCTCGTACACGTGTTCGATTCAAATTTATGTTCTTTTAAAGTCTTTTTTTGTGTTTTGTGAGATGAACCGAGTGAATCCCGAATGTCCTTGAGATGAAAAATATTTTTATTTATCAGTGAAAATGTCATTATCTCGTCTCGAAATGATAATAAGATTATATGTCTTAGAATCACGTGATACTAAAGTTATTGGTATGAATACGTTGTCTGTCACTCCTAGCGAACGGATTGCATCTCGACTACCTAGTGGGGTAAATAAGGGCTTTCTCTTAAGTTATTTCGAGGGCAGTCATAGGAAAATGGATGCACTTGTAGTAATCTTAGATGCAATGGGATTGATAGAGACCACCTGTAAGGCTCGAGAGCGAATCACGGTCATATGACTTGTTTAATAAGTTTCTTTGTAACGACCCAGATCCACCGCTAGCAGATATTGTTCTCTATGGACTTTCCGTTTCGGGCTTCCCCTCAAGGCTTTAAAACACATCTGCTAGGGGAAGGTTTCCACACTCTTATAAATGGTGGTTTGTTCTCCTCCCCAACTAATGTGGGACATCACAATCCACCCCTCTTCGGGGCCCAGCGTCCTTGCTGGCACTCTTTTCTTCCTCCAATCAATGTGGGACCACTCCCAAATCCACTCCCCTTCGAGGCCCAGTGTCCTTACTGGCACACTGCCTCGTGTCTACCCCCCTTTGGGAAACAGCGAGAAAGCTGACACATCGTCCGGTGTCTGACTCTGATACCATTTCTCGATTTGTGCATGTCATCCTTGCACAACAGCCATGCTAATCTTCTCTGTATCGTTCCAATTTTATCGGATGTCCCAACTATCAATTTTATTAATATTGTAACATAATATTCAACCTTTTAAAAAAAATTAAAAGTTAAATACCGTTGAACTCTAATGATTAAACACTAATAATTAAACTAATAGATTAGGAATTTAATTATGTTAATACATAAATAATTTATTAAACATAAATTACATAAAACAATTTCTAAACTAAATTTTAAAATTTTTTAATTTTAAGTCTTAAAATAATTAATTATTATATTAAATATAGAACTTTGTGTTTAATAAAAATATAAATTATAAAATTATAAAATAAATAAAATAAATAAATTTCTAAAATTTAAAAAAATTTGAAAGAATTAAATTATAGATAATAAATTTAAATGGAAAGGAAACTGACAAAAGAAGGGGAAAAAAAAAGGGTAAATAATTAAAGCGAAAGGACGGCATTGAATAATTTAAAGCTGTGGGGACTCACTCCACTTCGCATCCATTGGCAGGCGCATTCCCATTCCTTTCCTCTCCTCTCTGCGGAT